GCAGGAATCTTTGGCACCTAACAAGGCTTCAAATAATCCAAAATAACTAAGTAATAGTGGTAGTAGGAATAAAATACACAGAGTAGTAATAAACTGCAAATAGTAGTAGTCAGCTTCAAGAAAATGTTAGTCCATGGAGTTAAGGATGAAGTGCCTGAGCCATTTAGAATAGAATCATTTAGGTTGGAAAAGACCTCCGAGACCTTCGAGTCCAACCTGTGACCATCACCACATTGTCAACTAGACCAGAGCACCAAGTGCCAGATACAGTTGTTTCTGGGACACCTCCAGGGATGGTGACTCCTCCACCTCCCTGGGCAGCACATTCCAATGCCTGATAGCCCTTTCTGTGAAGAAATTCCTCCTGATGTCCAACCTGAACCTCCCCTGGTGCAGCTTGAGGCCATTTCTTCACATCCTATCACTTATTCCCTAGGAGAAGTAGTCAACCCACACATATCCAGGGAATAAAGCTGGAGGCAGCAGGATGTGAGTAGATAACTGCACTGTATGCTCTGTGGTTATGACAGCAGCTCCTAGTGCTTCTGCCAGGAGAGGCAGCAATTGCCTTACAGCAGTCATGTAATAACAACAGTGTCTCTACCTGCGTCTTTCCCTTTCCACTTTTACCAACAAGAGGTTTCTTTTGTAGCACCTGGTTGTCCTTTCTTGTTCAGCAGTGCTTTTCTACCTGCCTGTTGTCTCTGGAGAGCAGTTGTTACTATCTTTTCCTTCTTGTTTTACCAGGCTGTAGCATGACATTGTGCTTTTGTGGGGATTGAAAATGCTGCTGCGACTGCAGCACTGAGTTTTGTGGTTCCAAAAATTGTGGTGTTGTGGCCCTGTATGTGAAGGTCATAAATATAAATATACAGGAAAACTCACAGTGTCATTATGTGGTTGCAACTTACTCACCTCCCCATCCACCACAGTCAAAAGAGGAGTAGTTACTATACTCCTTGAGGGCTACAAAGCTGATCAGAGCACTAGAGCATCTTCCCTATGAGGACAGGCTGAGAGAGTTGGGGCTGTTCAGCCTGGAGAAGAGAAGGTTGTGTGGAGACCTCAGAGCAACCTGCAGGAGCTGAAGGGGCTCCAGGGAAGCTGCAGAGGGATCTGTGTTAGGAACTGTAGGGTCAGGACAAGGAGAAATGAGGATAAACTGCAAGAGAGAAATTTGGATTAGATCTTAAGCAAATGTTTTCCCTGTGAAGTTGCCCAGGGAGGCTGTGGCTGCCCCAACCCTGGCAGTGTTCACAGCCAGGTTGGATGAAG